TTTCCTTTCTGTTTTGTTTTATGTTAATGAGTAACACAAGAGTTAAAAGGATAGATTAATTAAGTTCTATTTCCTGGTTGTGTTGACGATCTTATCAAAGGTTTAGTGGAAGTTATACCTTGTGTTTTATTAATAGTTGTTACATATTAAGATAAAATGGTCACTTTATGTTGAAAATGAAACGACTATAAACAAGTGACTTATTTGTATCTATATCTTTATCTATATCTAAAGTTATATTTTATCTTTTTATTTGCATACTAGCAGGGCGGTTCTTTCGTTAGGACACGGTAGGACGCCACCCTCCGGAGGCTCCACATTGTCTCACTGCAGTGCATTATAGACCACATTTTTGGTTTTGCCATTAGCAGCAAGTATACAGATTTTGTTCCCACTCTGGAGCATCCAACATAGAACTGTCCATGAGAGAAGCAAGGAAACACCAGGTTTAGGCCAACCATCTTTAGGACTGTCCCTGGCTTTTGTAGATGGTCATGGCAAAGCTCACTTTAACCGGGAACTGAAGTCGCTTGAACTCAAATGGCAGGTCAGTGGTGATGAGAGGTATCCTTGGTATAAAAACGTCCTCTCCTTTAGCTTTTCCTGTCAGTATTGTAGCTTCCAGTACATGTGGCATCATGTTTCTTCACCACCAATCTTGTGCCATTGCAGAGGATTGGTGGTTCAAGATTTCTTAAGAGCATTATAGGAGTTCCAATCTTGAGAGTGAGGGTGAGGAGGCATTCCAGCGGGCTCCAAAGAATTAAGGAATTCTGCAGGGTACTGGACTGCTTGGTCCTGGTCGATTACTGTATCAACAGATTTGAATGAGGTCTCACTGCCTGGAAGCTGTCTGAGTAGAGTCATGTTGATTTCAGCCACTGTTTCATTCTTGGTGCCAGAATTGCGTTCACGCAGCCACTTGTGATCCTTGTAGTGGTGGATAATGTTTGTAGACCATGTTAGTGAGCTCAGTTGAGGACTTACAACATTTCCACATCCTTGAGGAATGATTATTTGTCCTTCTGAATCAACAGGAAAGTTCCATTCCCAATCTGTAGTAGAAGGTTTGCAAACCGTTCAGCATCCTGATCTCCTTGTAGGTGTACTCTCATGTTTGTGGATAGGGTGAGTGTCTGAACATCTCAAAGGTATGATGCCTTGAGGCACGCATTCAGTTCATCAGCTGGAGTGCTTCGAGGAATGACAGGTAGGGTCTGGCGAAAGTCTCCGCAATGACCATTGTAATGCCAACCATGAGCTGGTCATTTTCTCGTATGTCTTGCAAGGTCCTGTCCAATGCTTCAAACGCTAACTTGTGAGACATAGTGCATTCATCCCAGACTATGAGGCTGCATTTTTCTAAGAGTTTGCCTTTGCCGATCTTTTTTGATGTTGCTCACTGGATTCTCATTGTGAGCGAAGTTGAGAGGCAGTTTAAAAGTTGAGTGTGCAGTACGTCCTCCTAGTAGTGTTGCAGCAATGCCTGAGGGCCACAGCAAGAGCAATTTTCCCTGATGACGTACTTTGGCCAACAGAAGGTTGATCAGGAATGTTTTTCCTGTCCCGCCAGGTGCATCGAGAAAGATCATGCCTCCCTGCTCCACTTGTATCACTTGCAAGATCTGTTCATAATTATTTGCTTGATCAGGCACCAGGTGAGGCTCATTGTCTTCAACAAAATTCACCAGAACTTCAACTGAGTAGTCTGTCTCTGAGCAACTCCCTGTTTGCACCTACTGGTTCTTCTCGGTTTGGGAAGGCAATCCAAAATCAGTCAGGTTTTTTCCGCATAGCTCCATCACTTTGTCTTCCAGCATGATCAGAGCCCTGTTGAACATGTCATCCATGAACTCAATCTCTTGGCCAGGATGTTCTTCTTGCTTGATGAAGCAGATCCTGAAAGACTTTCTTGGTGGTTTTCCAGAGCTGGCTTGGGCTGGAAAGTCCACATGTAGCAATCATGATGGCAAAAATTGAGTAGCTGCTGCCTCTTCTAATGTGTCATTCCAGTGACCATCATCTTCCAGTAGGCCAAGGAGATTGCACGCTTCCTGATAGGATCTGCAGACTTGTCCATTCACTGTCTTGAGTGCTGCATAGGATGTTGGGCCACGGATGTGGTGCAAAAGTAGTCTCAAACAATAGCATTACAACCATTACAGAAACAACTATTATTATTTTTTATATTTACTACTAACACACCATAACAACCACAATTACCCACAAAACCAGACCACCACAACAGGTCCCCAGGGAAGGCTCAGGGGAGGGTCAGGGCGGCATATATTGACTCAAGGTGTCTATATGATTGAATATCTGAGGTTGAACCTATGGGAGAGTGAGGGAGAGGAGGGAGGGATAGGGGAGTGAAAGAAGGATTGTGGAGGGAGTTAGAGGAGGGAGATGAAGGGAGGAGGGAGGGTGGGGGTTGAAATGAGTTAGGGAGGTAGGAGGACGAGGGGGGAGTGAAGAGAGTAAGGGAGATAGGAGGTGAGGAGAGGAGATAGGAGGGAAGGCAGAAGAGAAAGAGAAAGACCTTGTACATGAAGGTAAAAGACACAGAGAAGGGGAGAAGAGAGAAGAAGGGAGGAAGGGAAAGAGAAGGGGATAAGAGAAAAAAATCAGGGTTGAGGAGGAGAAGACAAGGAGAAGGAGAGGTGGAATGTGAAGGAAGAGAAAGGAAGGAGGATGAGGGCAAGGAGGAGGAGGAGGAGGAGGAGGGGAAACAGTGAGGGGAGAACAGAGGGGAATTAAATCTCTACAGAGCGACTGAATTCCACAAACAGGTTCCAACGCCACAATGAGCCAGCAGTAAAGGGCAAAGGAGGGGAAGGGGGGGGGAGGGGAGCTGAGGTGGTATGTATCTAGGTGAGGGAAGAGGGGAGGTGAAGAGGGGAAGAGTGGATGGACAAGGGGAGAGGAGGAAGAAAAGAGGGATGCAGGAAGGCGAAGACGAGATGAGAGGGGAATAGGAGGAAAGAAGGAAGGAAGGAAGGAAGGAAGGAAAGAAAGGGAAGGTAAAGAGAAGGAATGGGATAGGAAGGAATAGGAGACAGGAAAGAATGGATGGAAAATGGATAAAGAGAGAGGGAAGGGAAAGAATACATAGAGAAGGAGAAACAGGAAGGAGAGGAGAGAGAGAGTTACCCATATATACAGTAAGTCAAGGTTTGTCTATGCAAATTAAGCTCCCACCTGTGTCGTGTACCCACCAATGAACTTAGAAAACAAACAAATATATTATTATTGATGATTATGAGACGATGTATAAGACCTACACACACACACACACACACACACACACGATGAGCCAACACAGTCAGAATAAATCATAAATCATAACAAACATCAATAATTTTCTTCCTCAGCGATAAACATTTTCTTTGTTGTCTTGTTCTCACTGAATTATTATACCCCTTGACCCCTTGACCCCCTTGACCCCCCCTTGACCCCCTTGACCCCACCTGTGTTTTAGTGAGCCTGTCTGACTGTCCGTCGTTTACAACTTTATTTACAGGTTAGGCTCGAAATTAATTAACAATTGCCCTCGAGGTTACTGCTTAACTGTGACCTCTAATAATATCTCGCTGTTATATAATAATATTACGTCACATCCGGAGCTGTCACTATATAAATCTATACACGTATGTTCCTTGTACTAAAAAAGTGAATTTCACGAATAAAACATTAGAGCACAAATGAGTATTTTGTTATTTTGTCAGCCATCTTGTTCTAAGCGTTACCATGGCAACCACGTATACACTTAAGAAAACAACCAGCCGATGAGGTAATGCTTACACAGTAATTAGGATTCATGTGTTATACGGTAACAATTGTAGTCACCCGCCACAGATAAACAGGTAAGCCAGAGGTGATTCAGGTTTGTTTCTCATACCTGTCACAATGTAGCACCTGAGAGCATTCAAGATTATCTTCACTACAGGGAGGCCACTTTTGTTATTTTATTTGACTAACGAAAGACTATTTTATTCACTTCAGAGAGACACCAGTATATAAGGGTTAATAAACGATCTCCACTAAAAAAATATTTGTGTAAACCTCAATATATTTCTCTCCAATACACGTAAATATTATGCGAAATATATCTAAGAATGATGATAAGATTATAGTGTATATATAACACACTCAGGACATGCTAGATAATATAGAGATTATAGGCGTTGGTTGTCTCTGACCTTTATGCTCAAGTGTCGAATATCCGCTAAAAATCGAATAATGAGACTCCTGGCCCCAAGCACCCCGGATAATCGAAACTGTATCGATTTATATTTCTTTATACTTTCGTCTTCAAGTTGATATTCATACTTTCTATGGTTATTATATTTATATTTTTTTATAGTTATAGATATTTTTTAATAATTTCTTAATACGTTCAGTACTTTCTTATACTTCCAATACTTTCAAATACTTTCTAGTACAGTACTATCTTATATCTTCTTGGGCTTTATTATATCTTTTTGTATTTTATAATGGCTCATACTTTCTCACACTTTCTTTTCTCTACTCCAAGTACTTTCTAACTACTCTCTAATACTTTTTATACTTTCCAATACTTTCACATACTTTCTAAAAAAATCACTTTCCTTATCAAGAATCACCTCAAAAGTTGCTACGTCATAGTAAAAAAAAGTATTAGGAGGAAAAGAAAGTTCCAGCGGCAGAATTCATTACTTAAAACTTTCAAAGGGAAGAGGAAGAAGAAAAAAACATCTCAGAGTGCAAATTATTTCTTAACTTTCACTGAGTCGTAGACATTGAAGGTTGAAGTTGGACGCTATATTGCCAAGGTAAATATGAGTAATTAATGAAACAAAAGCAGAAAGGTGGTAGCTGAGCTTGTCTGTGTGTGGGTAGGTGGGTAGGTGGTAGGTGGTAGGTTTGTGTGTGTTGTTACCTTCAGTGTCAACAAGAAGCAGTACTATCAACACTACCGACACAGACAGACGTACTACCAACACACACACAGTAGTACTTACATGGTCCACCCACACGTTAGTCGTCATGATCTGCTCCTTCAAGTTCTGGAAGAAAAAAAGGAAGAAAATGTAAAAAAAAGAAAGAAAAAAACACACAACGTAAATCATATCACGGCTGTAAATCCAAAGTCTGTAAATAAAACAAATTGAAATGAAGGAATATGTGTTAATGAAGTTATAATGTGTTTACAGTTTTGAATGGGATTTTTATTTAATTTCATTTGAGTTAATTTTCTCGACTATTTAAAACTACCCAACCTAACCTAACCTAACCCAACCCAACCCAACCCAACCTAACCTAACCCAACCCAACCCAACCTAACCCAACCCAACCCAACCCAACCCAACCCAACCTAACCTAACCCAACCTAACCTAACCCAATCCCAACCCAACCCAACCTAACCTAACCTAACCTAACCTAACCTAACCTCACCTAACCTAACCTAACCTAACCCAACCTAACCTAACCTAACCCACCTAACCTAACCCAACCTAACCTAACCTAACTCTAACCTAAATAATGAGACATAATTGTAAACAAACAATTCCCTCACAGAAAAAAAATTGTCGGGTAGTCAGTCAGAGAGGCGGGCATTGGGGCTTACTAACGCAGACATGTGGTGTGTGTGTGTGTGTGTGTGTGTAAGAGAGCAGTACACCATCAGACTCACCAAGGCTCAGCTCAGAGATTATCAATATTTACAATAATCCCAACCCGATATATTGAGCTTTGGATAACAACATGTAGATCACACACACACACACACACACACACACACACACACACACACACACACACACACACACACACACACACACACTTATTAAATATTTATGGCAGCAAACAGAAGGAACTGAATGATAATATTGTTTAGAGATATTCATAATAAACTGAATAAATGAACTGCATCAATATTAACCTAACCTAACCCAACCTAACCTAACCTAACCCAACCTAGTCCAACCTAACCTAACCTAACCCAACCTAACCTAGTCCAACCTAACCTAACCTAACCTAACCTAACCTAACCCAACCTAGTCCAACCTAACCTAACCCACCTAACCTAACCTAACCTAACTAATGCATAGTTTGATCAGGTTATTACATCAATTAAACAAACATCTCAAATAACACGTAATAAACACTTATTTTTTTAAGTTATGGCAACACTAACAAAAAAATATACGTAATAAACAAGACCGTTAGTTCCGTTTTAACGCTTAATTCCACGATGTATGTATGTATGTATGTATGTATGTATGTATGTATGTATGTATGTATATATGTAAGTATGTATGTATGTATGTATGTATGTATGTATGTATGTTTGAATCCTTGATCACAGGAGGACAAGGAAGAAGGAAGTTGTCAGTGTAGTATGCCGAGTATGCCTATCAGCCTCCTGCATACACTCTATAATAGATGCACTCGGTCGCCATCCTAAAGCAGATGCCACCTTTCCTGACAACAAACTCAACATAACCCGCATCACCTAGGGCTAACATTAGCAACACCTTCTTGCTTGTATTCTACCCTGATGTGTTGCAGTCAAATAAGAGGAAGAATTGATGAGATGTGTGTGTGTGTGTGTGTGTGTGTGTGTGTGTGTGTGTGTGTGTGTGTGTGTGTGTGTGTTGTTTAACCGCCAAGGAGAGAAATTTCCTGACTTTTCTGTGACGAAGAAAAAAAAATAAAATAAAGAAAATAAATAACTTGTATACATGCAATCAGGGCAGCCATCAGATGAGTGTTCCAACAATCAGAACAAATCCAGGGACGTGCTCGAGCAATCAGAAGAAGTCATCAAAAGTGGCGGTAAAGCAATCAGACAAAAACTTCCGTTCACCCAAATTTGTTGAAAAGTCGAGCGATTTATATCTTTGTACAAACTGGCAACCGAAAAAAAAAAAAAGAGAGAGAGAGAGAAAACTGATTCTCAAATTCCTTCGTATTTTTTTCCTCCTCTCGTTCTCTTGCAAACGTTGGTCGACTTTTCTCTTTACCCTATTCCATCAACTTACTTTACTCATTCACTATATAATTTTCGCTTTGTTCCTACTCTTAGAGCCAGCAAAAGTCTGGGTCATATCTGAGTACATAATTCATACGCCTTTTTTTTTTTTTTATTTACGTTTGGATAGTTGCTGTCGATATATACCCTTTCTGTAAGCGGATATGATGGCCGTGTTCTGTGTTTTAGTAAAATTGAGTTGTTATTGAGTATATCCAAGATACTTAAAAATAATAGAATCTGATAAAAGCTTTTGATGTTGGACGCTTGAGTTGACAGTTGCACAGTGTCTCGGGATAAAGCCAATTTTAGCAAACTTTATCCCATCAATGGTAATAACTATTTTATCACGTCTATGGTAAATTATCCCATAAATATTAATAGCAGATGTAGAATGTTGAGGAAGGAACGTTTCTCGTTAAATAGTTTCGTTTGCAAGGATATTTTTTTCTTCTTGAGGAAAAAGTGAATTAAATTTTATATTTTGTAAGCGAGATTTTCGTTTTAGAGTGTTTGCGTAATCAGGTGTTTTCTGTCATGAGAATATATTAGGTTATGTCACTTTTTCGTGGACTTTTCTTTCCAGGAGGGAAGGGAAGGGAGGAAGGGGTGGGGGAAAGGAAGGGAGGAGGGATGTAGGGGAAGGGAAGGGAGGAGGAGAGGAGGGGTGGAGGGTGAGAGAGAGAGAGAGAGGAGAGCTGTACTATAATTAATCAGACATTTTTGCCGCAAAGACCAATTTTTTGTACACACACACACACACACACACACACACACACACACACACACACACGACTATACTACCTATTCTACACCATAATATACGTTATGTCCCAAAATAATCTGTTTAATGAGAGGTTTCCATCTTTGGGAGTATAGGCGGGCAGTGGGGGGGGGCGACCAAAATCCAACCACGTCTAAGGTAGATGTGTCGAGGATAGCAAACAAACACAAACACAACAAAGAAATATCCCCAAAACAAACACACAGTCGCTTTCTCTATATATATTCCTTTGTTTTTCTTCAGTAAAAATTTCATACTGGAAAAAATATTTTTTCTATACACCTTTTCTTTTGTAAAGGAATTTCAACATGGAGAGTACAGTATTTATTGCAAAAGTCAATCTGGAGTATTGTAGTATTTTCTAACATGCAAAATCTTGAACGATATATTTTACTTTATTTTTGGAAGAACTTTTATTTGAGGAAGAATTTTTTAATTACCCAGATTTTTTTTATTGAAGAAATTCTGTGAAAAAACCCTTTGTTTTAGGCAGGAATAATGATGTTAGGGTCAGCATATTCCCCTTAATGTCTTCTTTTTTTCTTCTCAAGGCCTCTTCATTTTCCTCTCAAGGCCTTCATTTTCCCTCAAGGCCTCTTCATTTTCCTCTCAAGGCCTCTTCATTTCTCCTCTCAAGGCCTCTTCATTTCCCCCCAACCCCCAACCCAACCACCCCTTCATTTCTCAAGGCCTCTTCTATTTTCCTCTCAAGGCCTCTTCATTTTCCCTCCCCCCCAACCTTCCTCTCAAGCCTCTTCATTTTTCCTCTCAAGGCCTCTTCATTTTTCTCTCAAGGCCTCTTCATTTTCCCTCCTCATTTTCTCCTCAAGGCCTCTTTCATTTTCCTCTCAAGGCCTCTTCATTTTCCTCTCAAGGCCTCTTCATTTTCCTCAAGTTCTTTCATTTCCATCCATTCCGCCATTTTCTTTATCTTATTCCCCACCAATCTCAACTCGTTCTCTCAGCCATATTCTCCTCTTCCTCTCTTTATCTTCTCTATCTCTCCTTCCCTAAGTTATCTCGTCTTCCTGATAACCGTTTATTTCATCTCCTGAATTACTTCTCTCTCTCTTGACGTAAACACAAACCCTTATTCTCTGTGTTCAGTTGAGGACAAATTTCAGACAACCTCTACTACTCTTCCCTCCATCCACTTTCTCCCTCCAATCCCTTAGCTTCCTTCAATCTCCCCCCTTACCCTCCTCCTCCAATCCTTCCTCCCAGGCAGAAACATCCTCTCGCTCACTCACGTTCTCTTTGCCACGGTAACTTATACATGACAGTCACGAAGTTGGCAAAAAATTGACTTTCCATGTCAATTCTGCCTCGGCCGCGGCTCAGTTCAAACTCGGAATATTTTTTGGAGTCTGAGTTTCTGAGAGTTGAAATTGACTTTTTTCTTCTTACACTTCGTCTGTTTAAATTCATCCCGAGTTTTATTTATGTTAGTGATCTTTTCTTTTGAGTTTCGTATTTTGTTTTTCTTTTGTTTTTCTTCTGTTGGTGTGTTTAAGAATTCAGTTTCAAAGTATTAACGTATTATTATCATTATCGTGATTATTACTATTATCGTTTTATTATTATTGTAATTACTATTATTATGTTATTTATAATGATATACATGTATAAATCTAAGCCGGATCCACGCCTCACACACACAGCACTCCCACGCCCCCATGCCCCACGCCCCACACCCCCAGCCCCCCACCCACGCCCACCACCCCCTCACCCCACACACGCCCCGTAATCTGTGGCGGCTATGAATGAGCCAACGTCGACACTAATGGGTTCCCGACGTCCCTCCCAGCAAGCACTTTGGCCCCTTTGTAGTGCTTTGACCAGCTGATTATGTCCAGTTGCAACATAGGAGGGGAGGAGGGATGGTGGTGGAGGAGGGAGGGAGATGGTGGTGGTGTTGGTGGTGGTGAGGAGATGGTGGTGAGGGGAGATGGTGGAGGAGGGGAGATGGTGGTGGTGGTGGTGGTGAGGGGAGATGGTGAGGGGAGATGGTGGGTGGTGGTGTTGGTGAGGGAGATTGGTGGTGAGGGGAGATGGTGGTGTGAGGAGATGGTGGTGGTGGTGGTGGTGGGAGGGGAGATGGTGGTGAGGGGAGATGGTGGTAGTGGTGGTGTTGGTGGAGGGGAGATGGTGGTGGTAGTGGTGGAGCAGAGGGGGTGGTGAGGGAGATGGTGGTAGTGATGGTGGGTAGTGGAGGTGTTGGTGAGGGTGGGGAGGGAGATGGTGGT